TGAGCACAAACGCCGTGGTGGGCAGAGCAAGCGATGCTAGCACTCGCACTGCTCCACTGTCTGCGCCTCTCTGAGGATATCAGGCTTGGGTACCAAAGCCCAAAGCTTTCCCAAAGGAAAGCAGCCTTTCCCCCCCCCCTTTCTTTCTTCTTTTTTTTTAACCCTTTCTGCATCTTCATTTTCTAAACCACACTGGGAATTAAAGCATATGGGCAGCAAGATGCAGCCTACTTGCTGGTGAAGTCAGTTTGCAAAGGAAGTGGTATTAAGGACTTGACAGGGGCAGGAGGGGTTGCTGGACCTGTTCATGCTTGGCTCACACTGGCTATTCCTAGAGAGAGTCAACAGAGGTGGAAAAAAACACCCCTGTGGCTGCTTCTTTTTGTCATGTTTTTCTACTCCACTATGTTTTAGCCTGTCACCTAGGAGATCTCCACAACCTACCTTAAATCTTAGACAGAGTTACGTATAAGAATATCTAAGAGAGAGAATCTCTAAAAGAGACACTAACTCGCAGGTCTAAGTAGAATTCCAATCTCCCTGGCTCTCCTGCTTCCATACACTAACCCAAGCTTTAACCACCACCTTTCCCCCTTCAAAACATACAGACACGCAGGGAAAAGCCCATCCTGCAGATGACGTGCACAGCCACCTAGGTGGCCCGGATCACCCCAAGGACACTTTCTGAGGCCAAACACAACGCGCTTCATCCATTCCCACTGCGACGTGAGTGGCAAAGTGTTGCTTTTGCAGAGTGGCACTTTCCCCTCGTCCCAGGGACTTTTCGTACCCAAACTTGTCTCCCAGACTTGTTTTCCCCAGTATTCACAACCAGCTTAGAGCAGCCAATCCAACACTTCAGGCTTTCTCCAACTCTGGCCAGCTCAAGTAGCTGTAGCCAATTAATACTTCCTAAAAGCTCTTGATGTGCTGTTATCGAATGTGTATTACACCAGGAATGTCACGGTGTTTAAGCGAGCGCTCTCAGCATTACATGCTTGGAACATCTCTGACTCACCTGCTGGCAGCGGGAGCTGTGGCTGCCAGAGCCGGGGAATGCAGAACAAGGCAGATTTTCACACTGCTCCTTTCCAGCATTAGAAGCGCGGGTTTAAATCCCTTCCCTAACACTTGCATAAAGTGGGTGATCTGCACGCAGGAACATCCTTCTGAGCAGCTCAGCACAGTTGTAATATGCTGAAACAAGAAGTTGAGAAAGAAATTCGAAATGTTAACAAGTCATGAAATCTTCAGGATCTTAAAAGTGAGAGACAGATGGAGGGGAGGGTTAATTTTTTCTTTTTTTGGTAGGGAGAAAAAGCAGCATTTATTTTGCAATTCCACACCTAAGAAGCGGCAAATGGCTCATGCCTTCAGTGGTTCCTGCACAGCCAGGACACTGTCCTGCAAAAAGGAGCATCAGGGGACTTCAAAAAGAAGCAGAAGACTTGGTGGAAAACAACTGGCACCACTTCACAGGCACGATTGCTTTCTAACTGTAATACCAATTGAGGAGCAGAGTTATGTATAGATTGTTCTTTGATGCTATAAGCTTTTATGCTGTTCCTTAATAAGGTTTTGTAAGCAGGATGATTACATTGGTTTTGGCTTGGAAAGCTGAAGCGCTTTATTTTAGCAGGACCTTTTGGGCAGGAATTTCTGAAACAGCTTTTTGATGTTGTTGGCAATTTCTGTATGCATCTTTCTGTTTGCAGAGATGTATAAATAATCCAGGAGAAAACACTGTGGACATTTCCACTGTCTTTGTATCAGACAGGTTCAGGTGGGATCAGCATTAGCGTCAATCCCACCTAGAAAATGCACCTTCAAAAGTGGCAAGTAACCATCCAATGCCAGGTGGAGAGCACCACACCAAGCAGTGCTGCACCTACCACAGCAAAAGCAGCAAGACAAGCAAGGCTTACCCGCCAAAATGTTATACAAAGAAACAATTGAGAGAAAGGTGGAAAAACCTGATGCTGCTCTGGTCTTCTTACAACCACAGAAGCCATAAATAGAATTGAAGTCTCGTCAGTGGATGCAATTCTCCTTGGACGTGCCTGTGCAGTTACCCTTGGGATGCTGCTTAGCCACGAAGGGAGCGCGCGGCCGCGTTGGCTGTTCGGTGTGCAAGAGCAAGCACTTAGCACGTGGCATGGAGAGGCTGCACCACTCGTATCCAAACAGGGGAAAATGAGATCTGAACTGTCAGAGGGCTCCACATCTTCCTCCAGGTTTTTTCCATGGGAACTCAGGCCCTCAGACTACGAGACCTAGAAGAAAAACTTCTGGGTATATATCTAACTTACTGAAAAATGTGAGTGTTGATCCGTCAAACTCTCTGAATTTACCTGCATGTTAATAAAAAGAAGGGAATTAAAAAAGAAAGTCTTAAATAGATAATATATTAAGTTCAAACTTGTTTCGTGTTTTGGTTTAAGCAATTTTTGGGGGGGGAAATAGAGAGGAGGGAAAAGGCACACACACACACAAAAAAAAAAGTCTGCAGAGCAGAATAATTCATAGAAGAAAACTTCAATACTCGCTTCACTTTTTTTTTTTTTCTTTTTAGGCTTTCAGGTCTTGAATCAAAAGTCTCCTAGCTCTGTTTCCTTTGTAAACCAAGCCTACGAGGTAGCATTCCAGAGCTGTACTTGTCCATCCATCCTTCCACAAGCCAAGGTATTTGCCCAAGGGTGAATGTTTAAGCTGAGGATTCTCACATTCAAAACCATTAGAAGAGCAGCATGTTGTGCCTGTGCCCTCCCGTAGACTTTCATCAGGTGGACCAGAGTGTTTCTTGCTCATGGGGCTGCAGCCATTGCCGTGCCTTCTCCTGGGTCTCTCCGTGTGGGTGTCTTGCTGCCCGAGGCCGCTGCTGGCTGAAATTCCTGGCACACGGTATTAGGGAAATGAGGGTGTTTTTGTCTGTGTGACAAGGAGGGACATGATGTAACCACAGCCAGGAGGTGATTTCTGCTCTGATGCAGACATCTCAGTGCCATTGCTGAGTTTGCCTGCAGCCTGGATCCAAACACAAATCCTGGCGCTGGGTGCTTTTCCCAATTTGACACGGTACTCCAAAGTCTGCATTTTCATGTAACCTAACACCTAGATGCAGCTGGCTGGAAGTGGCCATTTGTCACATCTGTCATCTCTTTGTGGGCACTTCTCAGCTTTGGCCCCCGGAAACTCCCACTGTGACTCCAACACAAGGGATCGGCCGTGGGACACGCACGGCTAATCCACACACAGGATTAGTGTGGCTGCCAGCTGCAGAACGGGGCCACCCTGTCCCGCTTCCCAACACCCTCGCCGGTGCCAGGGCACTCACATCCTCACGTTCAGTTGTCCCCAAGCTCTGCTAGAGATCAGCCATGCTCAGATCTATGCAGTCAGGCCGGTACCGTTGACATTTTAGGCCAGAAATTAGTTTGAAAAACACTGAAGAAGGTAAATTAGCATCCCTCATGCAAATTCCTCCAACTTCTTCTGTTGTAACCTATGGATGACAGAATAAAGCCATACCATTCAAACGCAGCACATGCCTTTAAACTGAAGGGCACATTCCTTCCCCCACAACCTCAGCGCCTGTTCCAACAAGGGGTAGCAACAGCCCCAAGCTCCTTCACCAACAGCCCCAGCACCCACATGGCTCCGCGGCCAGAGGTGCCAGCTCTTCCCTCATGGCTCCCACTCCTGTCCAAAGCTTCTCAGCTTCCCAGCCTGGCACGCGGAGCGAGCGCCTTGCGGGGCTGTACAACAACCACTACCTTTCCTGTTTCTTCTTATTCTTGGCACAAAGTGCTTTGAATCGCTTCCAGCTGAGGTTAAAAGCAATTAAGAGGCTGTTTGGGTAGTGTTTTTTTAAGCGACCTCTGGTTGCAGCACAGCTTCCCCCCCGCCACACACACAGCAAATATCCAGACTAATTCTAGTTTAATACCTGTCCTCATGCTACTGAGCAACAGCTCCTGTGGAAGATTTTTTTTTTTTCCCTCCTCTTTATGCATTTTATCTATCACTTTCTTACTTTTTAACTTTGGATTTAAACTTTGAACAGTTGCATTAAATGCCTTCAGTCTCATAGTGGAAAAAAACCAAAGTAGTATGAAGTAATTTACATTATATCTACACCTTTGGTTCCTAAGCCAAATAAGAAACTTCAGTGTGCAAAATGCTGGTATTTTTACATGACACAGATATAATTAATTTTCAATTAAACTTCATTAACGTTACTCATGGGAGTTTGGTAGCACAAGGCGACACAATGAACTCCCAAGGGTACCCACTGAAACCGAAGGCACCATCGCACGAGGCTTCTCCCTTTCTGTAGCTCCAGAAAGGGGGAAAAGGATTAGTCCAAAGCAGCAGAACCCCAATTCTGCAAACACAGCCCACACAAGCCTCCTGTAGTGGTTAGTTCTGGGGAAACAAAAGGGATTCATTCCCATGCCTGGCATTACTGTGTGCACAACACGTGTTTGCAGGACAGGGGTACATGGGACAAAGACAGAATGAGAAATTGCTTCAGCAATGGGATTCTGAACTTTTTTTTTCCCTTCTTTTTTTAATAGTGGCATCTCCCAAAAAAGAGAGCTTTCAAATTTAATTAAATTTTACTATTTTATTTGTGAAAAAACTACAAGCAGAATTCATAAATAGACATTTCTATTTAAAGCAGGAAAATGATAAAGTGGCTTCTAATAACAGTCGTGCACATGCCAGTAACAGGAATATATTAACATCTTTTATTTGCTAGACAAAGAGCAGTGTCCAATATAAATTTCCCAAAAACATTTAAGACCTGTGAATTTCTGACCAGTTCACAAAACCACCATTGACACTTTAGCATGAAGATTAAAACAAACCTAACAGGACTGTCAGCTCTAAAGACTTTACAGAGCGGAAAAACTTTCAAAAGCGTTATACAAGCTGTCTTTCTGGGCAAATGAAAAATATAGCTCGTATAATACATTAACATAAAAATCCACAAGATAAGATTATGTTTTGACATACTTAAACAAGCATTCTATATTTGTCTCCAACAAACAAAGCTAAGGAAATAATGTAACCATCTTTACACAGTAAATTAAGGTTACAAGTCATACACAAGAACAGAACTGCTTGCGCATTAAAAACTGTTCAGCTCCATTGTCATACTCTAAATGTTGGCTCTTAAAACCATTCGGTTACATACAAGCAAAGGTTATTATATAGTCAGCAATTAATAAATTTTCAATAATTTAAGTTTATGGTAGAGCTTAAAAAAGTAGACTGAGAATGATCTTGATAAGGCAGGTGAAAACATCTCAGTGGAAAGAAACTCACAGAAGCTACTGCCAAATTTTAGATCTGTCCAATTTGAAACAAGCAAAGTGTTCCAATTAAAATAAATAGCCTGTTTGTGTAAAATGCTTTTATTTTTCCCTTTGCGTAACTATGTCAAACTGAGCAAGTCAGGCAAGCTGTGTTGGTGTCTGTGTGTGTCTGTGTAAAAGCTGAAACTTAGCAAACGTAACACTGTGCTTTACTTACCTGCTTTCTGTGCCACTGAATACCAAGAATCTGGTCCTTCCTCTAAACTAGTGTTTTTGTTCTTTTATTTATTTAAACATGCTCCCCCAAAATAGTGGGATAACTTCAGGATGCAGAGTGAGAAGGGAATTCCATTTCCAGACACATGTCTTGAGGGCGTCACATTTAGAAATCAAGTGTAAAAGTAAACACTACCCTTCAAATTCACAACACAACAGCTAAGATGAGGCCCGGTTAAGTTCAATGCTTAGCCAGCAATTTCTATTAAACACAAAATTCCAGGTCACTTGTTCCAAAAAAATTTTCCCACTTATTTATAGTAAGCTATTTTATCAAGGAGGCACACCCAAAACATAGATAAAATAGATTTTACTGACTTATTCAGCAGCCTATGAGCAGCTGGTTACTGTGTTAAAGCTTTTTCAACTAATCTACAGGTCCATTCACTTTATAAAGAAGCAATTTCCTGGTATACACAATGCCTTTTTTTTCCCCTCTCCCTTTTTTTTTTTTTTTTTTTTCTCTTCACAATTTCCCAGATCCAACCCAGAATGCAAGCACGTGGTTCACTTTAAGCACCAAAATTAGTTCCCCTCCCAGAGCCGGAGGGACAGGCCACTTGCTTCCACACTTTGCTGGATCCTGGCCAAAATGCATGCGAGCCTAATTGATAATGGATCATTTATAAAGCAGTGCAAAATATACAAGTTCAGGGGCATTTTCAAAAAATCTCTCTTAAAAAATTATTCCAATACATTTCAGTAAAATAAATAAATATGGCTGACCAGTTTACCCTCCCTGAGACCCTTAAAGGAACAGTAAAAACTGGAAAAGGAATGTCTTTGCAATATCCCATTAATGTTAAAATGTGGATTGAGAAATTCATAGTATTTAAAACTATGCATAATAAATTGTCATGATGCTCACAGGTAGCATCTGGTTTCCTTTGGTTCTTTAATAAATACTTTAAAAATGCTTAAAAAGGTAAAGACGGTCTATAACGTGAATATAAGCAGAATTAAATTGGGGTGCCTGGGCTAACACGTTCAGAAGAAAGTCATAGTTGCAAAGGCATTGCCATTGCACGTACCTTCGAGCAGAGGTCTAGTGAGTTAGTTAATCACAGATTTCTGTCACCAGCATGAAAAAGAGCCTACATCTGCTGCTCAAAGCCACACGGATTTTAAAAGAAATTTTGCAGTCGCCTCCACAAAGAGAATTTCTTCTTGCTAAGCAAATAATCAAATAATTCATAATGTAACAAGCTGGCAAAAAGTTGCCAATAAGCGGCCCTCTTTTGTCATACCTGAAAGTTATGTATTTGATGTCAAATAAAGTCACAGTCTCTGTGCCTGAAATTACTGCAAAGCACGCTGGGGCCACTAAATAAGGACAAAAAGACAAAAGAGGTTATTAAAACAGGAAAAAAAAAGTTTGTTTCACTTCTTCAGACTAGTGTTTTAGCAGGATAATGCATAGAAGGTAAACTGTAAAACAACACTAACAGGCCAGGAAAAAAAAATATAAAAGTAAATCAGTGTGAACAGCCTTAGGGCAAGAACGAAGGAGATTCTGGTCACGAGTTGCACTTGTTGCTTACTTGCCAGCATGAAAGCTTTTCACAACTTCCATTTCCACAGCAGGGTATCCACAAGTGTCCAAACACTGACAGGGCTAATGTCATCGCTGGATGATAAACTGTTCAGGAATCGCTCTTGGAATACAGATGGATTTCAAACAAAAAAATATAAGCCCAACAGCATGGAAAATGCAGGAAATTTAGCAACCTAAAGACACCAAAGGTCTGCGGGATGGGCCACACAGGACAGCGACAGATGCATTAGCAAGCCCTACGTTACCCCATGGCATTCGAGAACCAGCCTCGTGCTGGGCTCTTGCTCTCCCATAGGACCCAGACTTGCCCACGGCCACTCTGAGCCACCCTCCTGGAAACACGAGCTACCCAGAGCAACCTCCCAGTCTCAGATCCCAATGTGGAAAATTCAGGGCTGTCTGGCCAGCACTTCTTTTGCTATTAATAAGAGAAGAAAGGGGGAAGGAAGAATAGAGCGAATGGTCCCATCCAGGTTCAAACCTTCAGGAACGCACTTTTCGCCTTAGACCAGTTCTGTTTCAGTTTCAGTACTTCACAGAAGGGGACTGTCCCAGATCTTTAACTGTTCAATATTTTTTTCACTTCACAGTGTTTCAAGCACCAGCGTTTCCATGTATTGGTTTCAAATAACCCTTTATATATATTTATTTATATATATATTTATATATAATTTATATCAAAACTGATAGTACACAGTATAACTGGAAGAAGAACTGAACTTAAAAAGGATATGTTGAAAGAGGATGGAGTTTGTGAATGCAATAAATAAAGCCCCCTTCCCTTCCCACCCACGCCCTACCCCAAAACAAAAACTTGTAATGTTCATGGAAAATTGTGCACAGCAGATATTATAAAAAAGTAGATTCAGGAGCACATCCAATTATAAATGATTGTTAGGAAAATCATATAAAACAATGGAATACATAAAAGTGTCAAGAGTAATCATTAGGGTGAGAAATTCCTTGGTGGCCAGATGCCCATGGCAAGCAGAAATTATCCTGGTTGCATCAGTAAGAGGTCGATGTCCAAGAAAGTGGGTTTTCAAGCACAGAAGAGGCTCTCCAGGATTCAAACAGCATGGGCAGGTGGAGTGTTTGAATTTCATACCCCGATTCATAGTTTCCACAACTCCATGTGCAATTTTTCAGAAAGATTCGTCGTTGACTGCCGAGATGTCCCCCTTTGGTGTGGAGGAGCGGGACGAGCCCTTGTCTGTGCTCTCAGAGCCAGAGCTGCTCTGATTCTGTTGTTCTGAGCCTGCACTGGAGGTCACTGTAGAAGACGACGTGGACGAGGAGCGAGTCTTTTCTTTAAAGTCTGTGATAATTACTGTGACATTTCCCACTGTGACTGCCAGCTGCTGTGCAGTACTTCTGTCCACATTTTTCAGTCTGGGTCTGGAAGAAGAAGTATTTAAAAGAAAGGAGAAGCTTATTCTAAATAAAATCATCAAGCAGCTCATCGGCTTGTCCACCATTCACCTGCACACACCAATAACAAGGAAGACAACACAGGTAGCAGGCAGTGCTGCAGAGCACAGTGCAAAGGATGAAGGCCTGACCTCCTGCTCACGCTTAGTCCCACAGGAGAGCCCCGTCCTGCAGAGCTTGGTGACAAGCACAGGGCTCTAGGCTGTTATCTTTAATCCAGCTCAGCCAAAAAGCAGGACACTACAAGAGAGCCAAGCAGACAGGAGCCAGAGAGCACTAAGGATCTCCTCCCCACGGGGCAGATGAAAGAAGCCTGCTATCTAAATTCTCCATCGCATCATGTGCCCTGATGTTATGAGACAAGGCTGTGACTCTGCAATACAAAACCACATGAAAGCATCTGAACATGGCTCTTTCATTCCCATATTGGAACTCTGCAGCTGCAAACAACACAGGCCCTGGGACAGCCTGGCTTCTCTTTCAACTGCTTTGAGTTTATACAAATCAGATGCCCAATCAGCCCACATATAAAACTGCTCAAAATGCTCCCTTTGGAACAAGGCTATTGTAAATAAAACCCTGAACGTACAGCGATACTTCTTGCAGCTAGTTCTTTCAGTCAGGAGAAAACACAGGAAAGAGCACCCTGGTATTTATAGCTCAGGATTATCTCAGTAAATTGCATGCTGTGCTATCATTCAATTAGGAATGAAGCTAATAAGGGTCTAGACTCGGGGAAGCTGACATCCATGGGCATCTCAGGGTTTGGTGCAAAGCTCTCATACAGCAAAGTCGCCTTTAAATCTTGCCTTCAAGATAAGAACTGCAAGTACGTTGGCCATTCCTCTACCAACAAATTCCAAGTCAGCTGCAGTGACTGCTGCAGCTTACAACTTTTGCTCCTAATTAAGGGTGATGCTTCAGAGGAAGAATATTTCCAAATGGGAAATTATACAGGAGAGTCTTCATACTGCAGTGAAAGGCAGCTTGCCGAGCACTAACTTATTTGAAGAGACAGAGGGAAGGAGAGGATAACTTTGAGATCAAGCTCTAGTTTTTAAATCACTCTGACTCTTTTCAGTGTACACTGCATAATGCAACCCTAAATAAAAGGAAATTAAGCTGACTTCATATGCGACAGCCATCCAAGTGATATTGTAGGACTAGACAGAATAGAAGGAAGTATTAATGAACAAATATTTTCCCAAAACTTTAATAAAAATGATGAAGGAATTACTTCATCAAAAACAGTATTTTCATATCTGAACTAGGAGGCAGTTTTAGAAAAGTATAACAGGAAAAACATTTGTAATAAGTAGAACATATACATAAAATATTCCTGTGCAGGAGTAGATCTTGTTAAAACTTCTGACTTGAGCGGGCCCTGTCGCTTAGTGACCAGCTTTTTCAAAACAGTAGTTGTGCTGAGCAAATTCCAGCACTACTGAGACATACGCCCACGTGTGTGCGTTGTACATACGCACTTGCAAGAGCTGGCAATTCTAACACATAACCACAGACCGATGAAATCATCGCATCACCTTGTCTGCGGGTGACAAGAAAGGCCAACCAGCTCAGCAAATTTACAGGGTTTCGTCAGCTTTCTGACACTGGCTGAGCCGTTTAAGACCGCCCCCAAAGAACGGGGAGCAAACATGCCAGGAAGTGTAGTATGCGCATGCATTTTCCTCCTTAAGCTCCAAGTTCCTCTAGGAAACCCAGTCCTTCCTGTAATTTGATGGGGTCATTTGTTTTCTCTTGTATTCAGTAACAGTCAAAAATGCTAGCCCAGATAACGGAACCGACCTTTCTGCGTGCACCTTTCTCCCGCTGTGAGCGTGCGTTTCTGCTATTGCCTGTCAGAAGCCATCGCTCAGAGTTACACACTGAGGGGGAAAGGAAGGAGGAGGAGAGAAAAAAAAAAGAAAAAAAAAAAGCAGCACTTGGCCTGGGCCTAGATTAAAATCTGCCTAGAAAAGTTCCTGCTGCTGAGACCCTTTGAAGGAAACCATGCAGCAAGTACATGAGGGAAACTTTCTGTGTCTCTAAGCACAATGAAAAAGTAACATGAACAAAACAGAAAAAAAGTAAAGCAAAGAAGGGCAGGACTTCAGAATAGTCTTGCTCACACTGATTTGACAGGACCATTATAATTTGATTTTTTTTTTTTTTTTTTTTTTTTTGTTTGCAGTTTATTACCCAGTTAACATTTATTCTTTCAGTAGAGAAACTAAAAGGGAGGGGTTAACGTGACATATCATCAGTGCTTGAATCTGCCCTCACCAGATGAGTATTTGAGTGCTTTTGCATGGAAGAAGTTCAGAATCACTGCTGGGCTTGTCATGCTAACGGACAGACCTCACTGTTCTGTCCCCCCGCTCCTTGGTTGACTGATAGGAAGTGTTTACAACTTAACACAATTTCCACATACTGGGAACTTAAACTTTTTGATAGTTACCTTGAAGTGTGATTTGAGTCGTTGGTCTTTGTTGTAGTATTCCCAGACTGTATACTGTTTGCTTCACTAGGAGGGTCTTTCACTATATCCGACTTTGGTCTGTAAGAGTTGAAGGGGAGAGATATTAGATTAAACTGCACTTCATTAACACGCAGTACTACTTCAGTAACTCCACATTTAATAGATCATCCTTGAAACTTACTTAGTCTTCTTGTTAGTGTTCTTTTTTGTAACACTTGGACTGATTTCTTTTTCTTTGTCAGGTTTTTCTTTATCTTGTTTTTCCACTTTTTCCTTCTTCTCCTTCTTAGGTGGTGGTGGGGTTGCATATTGCTGGGCAACTTGTTGTGCCACCAACTGAGAGTTTATTCTAGGCTTTCTATAATGAGAATGGGAAAAAAAAGAGAGGAAGATCCACAATCAATTTTTATACAGCAAAGCAACTTTGTAAAAAGCTCTATTTTTATTTCAGCAATCAGGGAAGAAAACTTTGCTTAAAAAGAACCAAATGGATGTCTTTATTTAGTGTCAGGTGTTACTGTTGCTCCTAAACTTTCAAAATAAATAAGATTCAAATTTTCAAAATAAGAATTACTCCAAGTTGACATTTCATCAGTTTCCAGCCTCTCCTAGTAATTCTAATACTCCATTTCCTATCTATTTCACAAAATCACAGCCCAAGCTTTTCAGAGCATGTTGAAAAGCAGCATTCAAGACGTTGCCGACCATAAAATGCACTACACTTTAAGAGGTAACAATAAAAATAAATTTGCTGATAAAAATCAGTCTCCATCTCTCTCAATTTAATTTTTCAAATGAGCTCTTGTTCCCCGAAGCAGTGAACTTAGCATCGATAACAAAGAACAACAGAAGGTAACTGAGATTACTTTGTCCCAAAGACCAAGACTTAAATGCTCTGCAAGGAACATAAAAACAAACAGGCATTCACCATTCCATGAGGAGGAAAGGCTGTGCCAGCCTCTGACACCCTGTCCTCACACAATAGCCCACAATGTCCGAATGCTGCTCAGTAATTTATACAACATATATTCAGATGGACTGAGAAAGAGATAGAAAAGAGTCTCTAAAGCCCTGCTTGCTGTAGGTGCTGGGGAATGTGCCTGTTGGGCTGGGGAATAAAAGAAGAGCAGCCATTCCTTTCTATAGCAAGAGGCAGCACAAGGTATAGCGCTTTCTATAGCGGGCGGCAGTGCAAGGTAATTTGAGAGCAATTTCTGCTGCAATCAGCCTTGCCATATAACCAATAATTAGGTCTCTGTGTATAGTGTCACAGAAATTCATACCGTAGTGTCTTCTGCGCACCCTACCAAACTTGCATCTCCTCTTAGCTTAACACCTTGAGATCGTGCTCTGGCCTGGCCTGCTGAGGCCATTTGCACTCTGAGAATTCCCGGACGCTCCCGAGTAATTCACCCCCTTCACACAGCCAGAAGGGCCTAGGCTCCCTCTGTCCACACAGCTTAGCAGGGGAAGCAACCTGTTTGCAGCTGTCTTAATATTCAGTTATGAGCTGAATACTAATTGCAGCAGTTGGCCACATTGTGCTTATCTGTTGTATTGGTTATGAACACAATTTCAATTTTCTGTGCAAATATGGTTTGTTAATGAGTTTTTGCACAGCATGCAATTGTTGCCTTAAAACTACACCTAGCCATAGAAATCCAAGGGTCAGGGCTCTACCTGTGCACAAGGTCTTAAGTTCATCTCCCTTCATACAGCTCCTTAGTGTTTCTGCTAAGAGCAGTGATGCCTCTCAGATACCCGACTCAGGATCTGAGGAGAGCAGCCACCAGCACTGAACTCCTCACTGATACAGTTACACTTTAAATTTTAAAGCTGCCTGAAATTTGACTTTTAACCTGAAGTTACATCTCTAATGGCATTTGAAACATACCTCAGAAGCCCAAGCTGCCCCTTGGCCCGATCCTCATTTATGTGAACAACGCCGAGCGGGTGACGAGCCAGAGGCACAGAGCGCTGCTCACACTCCTCCGGGAAGGGACAGCTCTTCATTCTCTGACAAGGAGCCTCTGCTGCCCGCCTCGCAGTGCTCCAAGCCCTGAACCTCCTCCTTCCAGCCTTTTCTAAAATAACTCTGCTGCTGAAAAGCTTCGCAGATCAGACCTGCTTCTTGATCTCATGTCCCTTTGCCTATAAAGACTGCATATTAAAGAAAACATGGAGAAACCTTTGGAGAAGGGGCAGATACCATCTCCCTGCGTGATAAACCTCAGTGCTTGGGGCTGCCTTTTCCACCCTGGCTTACACCTAGTCTCTAGTTAAGCAAGCAGCTAAATGCAAAACCCTGGCTGTTTGCTCCTGAGCATTTTATCTGGGCCCTGTACCAGGGAATCCCGCCGCGAGAAGCCGAGCGCAGCATCACTGAGCGCGCTGCTCGGCACGGCGCCGGTCCGCGCCACTTCCACATGCTGCAGCTTTAATGACCACCACGCTGATAGCAGCGCTGTGCTCGCTCCAATCGCCAATTAATTCATAATTAACCACAAATAAAAGTCGCACTGATATTTCAAAATACTGTTGCTTTTCCCCAGAGAAGGCTGCCAGTAAAAACCAGACTGAACTCTGGCACCTCCCCACTCTATCTCCCACTCCTTATCTGTGTTCTTGACAGCACACGACATTTATTAAGCTTTATCACTTTCTGGAAAGTCGCTGACATAACTAGCTCAACGTCTGCATGAACCATATTTGTAGATTCCTTCTCACACCATGCAAGGAGAGAGCAGAGAAAAAGACACACAGAAAGTGGGACTCACTGCTCAGACTTTTCTTAATAGACAACATATTTTAAAATATCTGCTGCACCTGAGAAAACAGATTTTAAAAAAATAATTTCCCAAATAATAGCTTTCCAGTTTGGCCATTCTATTGACATTTGTAGCTATCTTAGGAAGGTTTAAACAAGTTAGGCAATCACTATAATGATAATAGAAGTGATACAATCTTCCAACAAGGCCTTGTGCTCCTACTGCAGCCAGGATTCCCTAGTTACAAGTCCTTTACAAAAAAGCCAAGCCAAACAAGTGCAGCAGCACACTCTGAACCACAGCGAACTATAACCATAGTAACCACAATCAAGTAAAGTATCTGCAATACCCAAAATGTGGTTCACGTTTCCCTGCATACTAAACACACACACTACTGGGGCTTACGCTCACCCAGTCTAGCACAGATTCATGTGTCATTTAGCAACCTTCTGCCTACACGCACACACACAAAGATACCTAACACACATACAGTCATCTATAGTGTCATCATGTCACACTATTTGTCACAGCAATGACCCTTTTCATGAGTTTTGTGCATTCTTCTCCAGCTGATGTAGCTGGCAGCTTACGTGGCTTTCTAGAAATTAGAAAGGAGCAGCAATTACTTTCTAGTTGCTTCTCTTGCTTTTTCTTTCCTGATAAAGAGCAGGAAAGTCAATGGAGAGAAACCCAACTGGGGAGCAACAAACTGACTCCTTGCAGCATTTCTGGAAGAAGAGAGTGCTTGAAATCCTGTCCGGTGTGGATCTCTGTAAACCGAAACGTGCTATGACATGTTGACAGCCAACATTATCACATCTTTTCTGCATGCAACATCAGGCAAGTGCTTTCAGTAGTGAGAAGATAATACCATACTGTGCCATACCATAGGGTTGCATGAGCAGGACCCAGTGCTAGGCAGGTTTATTCAGCCTTAAGTAACTGCTTTGCTTGGGCCAATTTCTATAAAAGTAACAGCCTGGCTAAAGACTTAACTACCAAGATCCAACCCTAGTGTGACAAATAATCAGTGAAGAGCACAAGCAAGTCTTCTCCCTCCCAAAAACTAAGGCCAACAAACCTAAAACTGTGTTTGCAAAGTTATGGTTGAACTAAGTGTTTCAAGTTAATTAAGCTTTACTGTACCTTGAGTTACAAGAGCATGTCTTTGTGAAAAAGATCTTCAAAGAAAGGAAACACTGATGCATGAAAAAGATGAAACATACCTATCCATCCAGAGTGTGGTTTTGACACCTAGGTCTTCATCATCACTACTGTCACCGCTGCACACAAATACGCTCTTTACTGCTTTCCTGCCTGGTCAGCTATTAAAAACCTCATGCCTGCAAAATACGCTGTCCTGAGACTGTTATTTGACACTGGGAAATTTTGTGCACATAAGTGGAAGAAAAGTAGGAGCTTCTAGGAAAGTCTTGCTGAATATGTACCCAAGTTCAGGATCCAAAGCAAAACTGCCTTTTTTTTTTTTTTAAACTTTATCACCTGCATTTTCTATGGTATCTCACAGTTTCCCCTAAAGCATAACCAAGGACTCTCTTTAGGGCACTAAGTGCTTGCAGCACATCTAGATGTAGGAATTGTGTGTCTTCGCTCACTATTTCTTTACTTGCTCTTCTCTCCGTTTAGAAAAAAAAAAAAATCACATTCTGATGTTATTTACTCCATACCAGGTTTTAAAAGGGATATAGAAGGATAATTTTCACCATATTTTTCATGTGACCTTAAGTTCTGTATCTGTTTGGGATTTCTTGGTCCCACTTACCACTTAGTTGAAGAAAACACAAACCATCCATCTCACACAGACCAGCCGCATGGAAACCGTAGCCTGCCTTATACCCACAGCAACACACAGGGTCTTAAGGGACTCCAGCAATCCCCAGAAACGTGGATCTAATTATAATTGCTCTTACTTTCCTACAACTGTGTTATCAGAAGAATAAAAGAAGCATCAAGTGGGATTTCAGAGTCAAAACCTCATGTAACACGGAGCACTGAGGATTTGGCTAATTTCATGCTGTTCTAGCTTTGATGCCAGTGGTGATACAGTCAGACCTCTGAGCGGCTCTCCAGTTCTTTGCGGAAATGTTTTATATGCAGTATAGAGTCGAAATACAAGAAAAATTTCTGTGCAAGTGTTTATAAAACAATCAGGGCCAGAACCAAAATACAAGCAGCACACATCCAAGAGATACCGTAAAGGGTAGAAACCAATCTACCAAATAAATGAAACAGAAAAAAATATATATAATATACATATATATATATAAATCTCTACTCTTAACATTTTTATATCTATAAGAACAAAACCTTCAGATAAATTAAACCATATTCATGGCTTAATGAGTGAACACTCATTTTTGTGTGCATATTTTGCAGCTCATTTGCGATGAGTGCACAGTCATTTTTAGCAACAAGAAAAGCCATGAATGGACAAATTGTCCTCGGAGTGCAATTGCACAGCACTGTGGAAGCTGCATACATCTATCGGAGAAATTCTCCTTATAATAAAAGAGTACAAAACAACTAGGCAATGAACAAAAGCACTGAAGAGGCTGGAAGGACAAGGAGT